CAAAAAACAAAACGAGTTCTTTGGTGTACACTCATGCTACTCTGAATAATTGCTGCAGAATGAAGTGGCAAGCATAGAAGAAATGCAGAGCCAGTTTCCCTCGGATGCAGTGTATTACACTGAGTCTGAGGATACACAACAGTCTATTGAGGTTGGTTATTGCAATTAAAAGGTTTTTACTATACATCTTACTTCTTTAGGCTTGGCTTGTCTTACTGCATGCTCTTAGTTACAAGTTATGTTGGTCAATATTGATCATTTCGTGAATTAGATCCAGTAACAACAAACAAAATTAGTTCCTGTTGCTATGACCTGGGCAATGAACAACAGATGCAGTTTGCCTCATTTCTAATGTTCCCTGTAAACACTGTTGTGAATGGAACAGCTTGAATTGATCACTGCTTAATATGCACTGGAATTCCTTTTTTTAGATATAATTTCCTACAATACATTTGTTGCTTCACAGAATTTCGATGGTTGCCTTCAGTAATGTCGACTATTTATTGTGGGCGCCTTTGCTATGCCAATTTTTTTTTCTATAGCAGCCTAGCAGGCATGGTTTACCCATAGGCTTCTATTATTCTTATGTTTTGGGTGTCAAATAAATTGATGCCATTTTAGGCTATGCCTTACATTCTTTTCATACTATGCAAATTAATAGCATCCATTTAAAACCACAGGCTACTCCACCATCGGTGAAAATCCCCTACAGAATGATGCTGGATGTCCTTTTAGAATCTTTGGGTCTGCCATTGGCTGAGTATCGAACCAAAGTATGCGAGGATGGTTTGAAGTTACAAAGAATCCCATTTTCGTTCAGATATGCACGCCTTTTTTTCATCTAGAATCTTTGCATTTAGGTTTATATTATTGATTCAGGTTCAGCTGTTTAGATCAAAACTGTAATCTTGCGTGTAGATTGGACAGATTATTTCTCACTTTGAGGACTCCGTTTTGTTCATCGGAAAGTTTTCCCAGTGTCGTTCTTCCAAAAATGAATTGAAATTACTAAGATTCATGCAAGTTACTTGGCAAAGAAAATTGTTCTCTGCATAGTGGATACATGTACTGATCATAGATTCAGATGTAGGCTAGGTTTCTGTTATCCGAAAACACACATTATATTGCCTTTGTTTTTACATAAAGATGTAGATGTTGAGAAGTATATTATTTTGATTGTTGAGTCGGTCTATGGTGTAACTTCGGGTTTTTTCTTTTGTGGATACATTTGTAAAGAAGTGACATGGCTTAATAACCCATATTAAATGTTGTGAAAAAAAACATATTAAATGGTGTCCTTGAATAGGGAATAAAAGTGGGAGCAGATTGACTCTTTGTAGTGCTCGTTCAGATGTACTAGGTCAGGTGTTCTGTTATCCAAAAAAAAACACATTATACTGCCTTTGTTTTTACATCGAGGTGTAAATGTTGAGAAGTATATTATTCTCATTATTTTTACCGTATGTGCATGCTCATAACTAAAACAACTAATTCATGTTTTTTTACAATGCGCACATGGATTCAAAAATATCCATGTACTTCCAGCGGCATGATTTTGAATGGGACTTTATACTATCAAATTAGAATGTGTATGTACATCTCATTACAGACAATATAATACCATTGTTTCATACTAAAGGGGATTAGATTTGTTACATAGATTTTGTTTCAAATAGAACTCTATGCTACCAAGTTTAAATGTGTATATACATCTATTGTAGACAACAAGACCCTGTTTTCCCCAACTAAGAGAGATTAAATTTGTTGTCATATGTGCTTACCCGTAACAAAATCAACTAAACCATGGGTTTCTTTTCATCGCTAACATGGAATCAGCAGGTCTCTGCGCTATTTGGCACAACGGTTTCGCGGCGTGATAACCATATTTTAGCATTCTATTATAAATATCAAATAGTTCCTTGCAAAATAAAACTATTTTCATCGACAACATGACTTTAACGGATCTCTGCGCCATTTGGCGCAATGGGTCAACTAGTATACTTAACAAAAGTGTAATGAAGACCGAAGCTTATTGCTTCTGGACTACTTGACTATTTAGACCGTTCGCGGCGCTCGTGCTTAGGCGAGGTGGGACTAAACCCAGCTCTCACACAGACGAAGAAGTCCAAAATAATCATGCAATGAAACAGCGCTTTGCCAAGAGCCAAGTCACGGGCTCTCGACAAAGCCTACCCACCGTCAGCGAGCCGTTAACCACTACCAAACATGCCACGTGGCACCTCTTTACCGTGGGTTCACTGTTTGGTTCTCGGCCTACAGAGCGATTGTTGTGTTGCCTCCTTTCACCGAGCGGTTGCTGGGTCTCAGTACATGCATGTATTTGTGGTGCTGCATCTATTGCCGAGCATGACTCTTGGCTTACACCGCTTTGTCGAGTGCCCGTGTTTTGGTTCTCGGCGAAGAGCCGGACACTCTGCGTAGAGTGAAATTACAGTAGTGCACACAACTGGATGCATGACTTCATTTCTAAAACTATGCATTATGCTTGAATGAAACGAGTGTCATGTAAATGGTATGCGCAAGAGGGCCAAAACTCTCAGCGTGATGTCTGTGTGCGCTTGTTCTCATGAATCCTGGTACCTTCCATCCCCAAGCAAGTTATCTTGTTGGAAATCCAACAGTTGATCGTTCTCACTCATAGAAAGCCAAAGATCAACAAGGAAGAGGGAACTGGCTTGGACCTTAGCCCGTGGATATTGTCAAGCCTTGTGCGTACTACGTAAGAAGGGAGGAAAGCAAGGCCGGTGTATATATAGGCAGAGACAGCTAAGATGCTAGGGTTGTGGTTGTACTACCCATTTATTTTATTTATTTCCTAAGGACAACATGAGCACGGCCACAACAACCAGTCTGATTAAACACAAGATAACACGCTGCCGAATTACGACCAAGAATTTACAAATATTTCTTAGATACCCACTAAACAGACTACTGGCGAACAATCTCCATGACAGTTTTATCTTTGGAAGATTCCAAATTCAGTTGCAAAGGAACACATGCATTGTAGTTACATATCACTCATTCTGAACAGGCCTGAAGCCGGGAAGTCATATTTCTTTGGGAAAATGGATACAGCAAAGGAGCTATTACATCAAATTTACCAACATAAACATAACCGAAGAGCAGAGGGACATCATCAGACGCAGACTTTTACTTCGTAGCCTGGGCAATGATGTTACTGATGGAGCCAGCTTCCTCTTTAGCAGCCTCTACCAACGAATCCTGTGAAAGTAGGGACACGAATTGTTAAGACAAAAAAAACTAAGGACTTCTTGAGAGCAGTCCAACACAAGTTTTGCAATTTTCTATTGTACACGTGTTTTTATATCTGTACAAACTATTGGAAGCACAAACTCATTCAAGAGGTAACAGGATAGATTTTAGAAGACGATGCTAATCCTAATATTCAAGTAAAGAAATGAACTCTACTGAATGTTGCAAGACTCAAGACATGAATGAACAATTTATGTTAGCCGGTGGTGAGGATACCTGTGCAGCAATAAGTCTTGCAACATTCTTCTTGCTAGATTCCTGAAGCTCACCAGAAATGAGAATCTCATCCAGTACATAGTAGGCCTGCAAATTTCACCATTGGTAGTCATGAAAATGAGTAGATGACTCATAAAAATGGCATAACTCGGCCAAGAAAAAAAATCATATAACTCCAGTCCTGGATCTTCAGCATCAACATATGCGAAAGAGATTACCTTGTGGAAATTGAATATCAAATCCAGCTCGCATACCTAAAGAAATTACGAAAAAGACAGTCAAAACAATAGTACATTTCACCCAGAAAAAAAAAACAATGGTACATTCAAGAAATAATGCTAATCCATAAAAAACATCAAAGGGAAGCACTTACACTGCCGAAATAGCGGTCCAGTATCTCAACAAAATGATGGATAATTTCAAGGACTTCGAGCTCATTGTCATCAGCATCGGTACACATGCAGAAATAGAGGCTGGCATACCTGTACATAATTATAAGCAGATATATATAAATAGCTAACAAGCATATCTTGCAAACAGAATAGACTCAATGGCATTCCTTATTCCTAAAACATACCTTCTGTACACAACCTTGTAACCTCTCCACTCAACAAAGTTGCAGAGTTTTGGCCCTCGAGTAAGAATGAGCCCACTAAGCTCACGGATGACCTTTCCAAATGAGAAGGGTGTGGAAAAATTAGCTAACTAGTACAATCCTCCTAGCCAACAAAAATCATGTAGTCGGCAGCAGCAATTTCAGAGGATTACATGTAAAACCGTTGTCGGTGTATGAGCACCTATAATACTTAGCCATCTTTCATAGAAAACAAATACATTGAATGGGCACCCAAGAGGCCAGGAAAATACCAAAAGCATGCATTAAAGCATTAAAGAGCTAGAATCACAAATCATCAACACTGGGCAGCAACAGAAATACGAGCATAAGACGGAGGCTGGAACAGGTCGTAAGGACAGTACAATAGCTGAAATTTATCCTTAGAAGAAGCATTTGCCACCATCTACTCATAATAATAAGTACTCCCTCCATTCCTAAATATAAGTCTTTCTAGAGATTTCAATATGGACTACATATGGAGGAAAATGAGTGAACCTATACTCTAAAATAGTCTATATACAACCGTATGTACTCCCTCCGTCCCAAAATTCTTGTCTTAGATTTGTCTAAATACGGATGTACCAAGTCACGTTTTAGTATTAGATACATCCGTATCTAGATGAATCTAAGACAAGAATTTTGGGACGGAGGGAGTAGTTCATATTGAAATCTCTAGAAAGACCTATATTTAGGAACGGAGGGAGTATACACTAGCACAAACACACATAGCAGCAATCTCTGCTTTGACATATAGTTTGCATCAACTTGCAAGTTGTTTAATTAGCAACAGACAGACATAAAAGCTGTTGACAGAAAGCAGTATAAGATGCTAACCTTAGTCCTCTCCTTCTGGGTGTAAGGCGAGTACCACTTGGTGAGCCTCACCTTGCCCTGGCGGCTGATTAGGAGCACGAAATTAATCTGTGAAGACGCAGAGAAAAAAAGGAAAGTTAAGCGACAGTGAATCCCAAACAAGATCCAGTGCTAGTGGCAACAAGCAACCGCCTGTGTTGCACAGACACAGACAGATATTTGTTTTTTCAAACAACGTTGACAGAGAAACACTGCTATATGTATTTAAATATAATGTATATAATTCATTAAATCTTAAAAGTGCACTTCAGCTTGACAAATTATCGACTACACTTATTCTGCATCACATTTTTTAGAAGACGACACTTTCGTTGATTTCCAGTGGAACAGATGGGCATGTCCCACTCGCCAAATATACAATCATTAACAGGACAGGTACAGCTACATAACAGGGCCATTCATGGTTGTATCACTAAAGAGTTTGTCCTATCAGTCAATTCCGTTGAAATCCTAAAACCTAGTGTTCTGAAACCATGATACAGGAAATAGTTTATTAAGAAGTTTATTTTCTACATGATCGTTCCACGCTCGAATAATATGCTGGGAAACATGGAAATGTGCCTTAAATATGATCACCAGCAGCCATCAATGTGGTACTGAAAAACGTAGCATTTAAAAGGAGATTCAGTCTACACTCTACAGACAACAAACTTCTCCAAACTACAACAGAACAAAGTGGCGTTCAGAAAGGGGGTTTGGCCTAGGCGCAGAATCGGTGGACAATGGCTGCCCAATTCATATACCGTACAGAAACAGAAAAGATCGTGATGAATGGCTGCAATTCCTCCTTGAAATGGGATTGTGAGCAAATCCACTAGCTCGAGAAATTCAGCTAAATCGGATGTGCCTGGCTTGCTAATGCCAAATCGATAGCAAACTGGTGGGTACTCTCTCCTATTCTCCGAGATCCGGATCCGAAACGAGATCCCACGGCCTCTAGCGTAGCCCAGGGGATCTACAGGAAGGGGGGGAAGAGGAACTCACCATGGCTAGGGACGGTCGCCGCCCGCGTAGATCTGCCGGGGCCTAAGAAGAAGAGCGAGGTGGGGTAGGCGTGGCCGCGCGGATCTGGCGGCGAGGGCGGAAGGGGTGGCAGCCGGTCGTCGGAGAAGGGAGGATCGCCGAGAGACGGGAGCGCGAGCGGCGTGGGTCGGCGTCTGGGCTGGGCGGTCTGGGTCGCGTCGGGTGCGCGATCTGCTACCAGTGTTGAGCCAAACCGGTCTATTTGCTGGTTTTGCCTTGTTCTGGGGTCCTTCCTGCATTTGAAACCCAACTTTGTGTGTATTCTTTTTCATTTGAAACCCAACTTTGTGTGTGTTCGAGAGTGGATTTTCCATACTCCATCTCATGTAGCTACACATTCTATCTAAGCCATCTAGTTTTCGTCAAGATCCGTGTTATCCATAACATTTTTTTATATCTTTCAAAGAAGGGAACATTTAACATTGAAACTTTGTAGATCGACTATAAACAAGCCCCACCACACCAAAAGCATATGAATTTGGTGTCAAAAGCATGCAAATTCCACACGTACACCCAAAAAATGAATTTGACATGCAATGCATTTCTTGTCCATTGCAGACAATCTTACAACTTGAGATGCAAAATGGTTTTCCAACGCAAAGGGTACTTCTTGTTTACGTAGAAAGTTGCAGCTTCAGAAAAAAATATAGCCAAATGCTAGGGGATTTCTTCGTGAGAAACATCTCTCTTGTGGCAACTTTTGTTTTTTAGGAAGAACAAAAGCAGAAATGCCTAATGGAGCTCGAGCTCCATGGAGCCCTTTATTTGAAAACTTCAAATTTGGATTTATGTTTCGAAAAAGTCTAAAATACACATATACATACGGATGTATACTACTTGTCTGCGAAGTTTCATGACGAAATACTTCTCTACAACTTCACAAAAATGACAAAATCATGTATTTCTAGCACATGTACTTGTACATGCTACATAAAAACGTATTTCATGATGAAATTTCAGACATGTCTAGTATACATCTATAAGTACTTTAGTATTTTCTAATTCTTTTGAAACTTAAAAAGTTATTTTTTTTTGACTGTTTTGAAATAAAGGGCTCCATGGAGCCCGAGAGAAAAATATCCACTTTCAAAAAAAAGTGCCTAATTGTCAAGAGGAGATGATACAACAGCGTCACACCTAATAATGCTAGGCTTGGAGCTATAGACACTACAAAAATGATACAACAAGCAAAATAGTTCATGTGATTCCCAAACCCCGTGCATAAATCCAACTGCTATACATACCTGATAAATTCAGTTGACTTTTATACAATAATCAATAGATAATTATTTCACCTAAAATGTCTCGGGCACTCAAATGTTATTCCTATGGTTTTTATTTTGTCAAGTTACGCCAGTTATGTATGATGACCGTTGCAAGGACCAGTAACCTCGTGATATAAATGACGGCTCTCTTTTTTGCGAGGAACATACAATGCCGGTTCTACTACAAAGTGGGTCAAATGATTAGACCTCTCTTAACTTAGTCATATGTCTTTTAGTTTTTGGACCTTTTCTGTTTTTATTTATCTCTTAAGCGTAGCAAGGTAAAAAAAACCTTAAGAAAGGATCATGTGAAACATTCTTCCTTTTTGCGAAATGTGATTTATTCTTCAAATTTTGCAAAAAAGGAAGGATGTTTCACATGATCCTTTCTTAAGTTCATGACATAGCGTTGTTTAGTTGTGTGAAAAAAGAGATCAAGTCCAATTTACATGTAAGAAAAGATCATATGAAAGGGGGGTATGGCATGGTGCTAGAATTGAGAACATGTTTTCTCTATGAACGTGCATGTATCAACTATGGATGACTAAAGAGCTAGAAAAATAAGAGGGCAATGATCAGTAGTGCTTTCAATAGAAGAGATGAGTTCTGTATATATCATTTATTTCCCCGGCTAAATTATGTGTATGTGGCTTGCATGTGCTTCAACGATATGGAACCTACACGGTTTTCTTGTATATTCACAACTCATATATAATAGTCACACCTACCCTTACCACCAACAAGATCCAACTCCATTAATCCTTGTCAACTTAGATATTTGGAACATCTCAAAAGCTACAAACTTGCATCTATATTTACTCCATGCATTATTATTTTTCAGGATTGGACGTGTGTGGTGAGTGGAAGAAACTTGCATGATAAATACACCAACTAAAAATCAAGAAAACGCATGAAGAAGGTTGAGGTAGAATGGTGTACAATTGTTCGAAGTAGTGGTGAAAAGGATTCAACAAGGATAACTGATAAGAGTTCCATTATTAGAAGACATAAGGATATTGACTAGAGAGAGTTCTAGGACTGGAAGGCGTTGGGATTGCGTCCGAAGAAGCATATAGACACATTGCACAAAAACGATTGCATGCACAATATTGATTGCTAGACATCTCTCTTTGACCTTCTCATGACTAACTTGGAGACCTAACTTTGACCTTCTCTTGTAATGCAAAGGTGATTGTCTCTCTTGGTCTTGAAGACCTAACTTAGAACTATTAGTAGTTGCAAAATCTAGATGATATGATGTTGTATTTGCATCACTCAGATGGTGCAATTAGTGACCATGAAACCGGCTAGCAGAGAGAACCCATTTGAAACCCATGTCCATGAGAGCAAGCGGTCTTCTCACACTCTTATATGAAATACCTCCTTGTCATCTGCCACACCCAGGGCCACTTCTAATATACTAGAGAATAATAAGACGCCCCTATCATCCCGCAAACAAAAAATGTGTATTTTTTCTTGCATTTTTTTGAAACTAAACACACTTTCTTTATTAATCAATAATGTTCATGGCGATACACTGTAAATCTGGCTCTGAAAGATATTTTCGTGCAGAGCTTGCCTTCTAGCACACCAAATTGCCCACAAAGTCACAAGTTCTTGGGTGAATTCGTCTGGGATAGCATCTCCATAAGAGCAAAACCCCATCTTTTGGCGTTAGGTTCAGTAGTACTGTTCAAAGCTTCCACTAGATCGGGATCTTGTAAGGCACATACACATCAAGCAATGCTGCAGTGAAGCGGGGAGTGTTGCCACGAATCATCTGCTCGACATAGCCCGTAATTCGTGGTGGTTGACATACTTCGGTCATGAAGTAAGTCAGCAGTGGGGATTGATTGTTGGGCAAATCTCCACAAGAATATCTTCGCTTTAGAAGGAACATCCACGTTCCATAGCTTTGACCATGCCCTCTGCTCACTTTCTGTGCTTGACGAGTTTGGCCGGCCCTCAAGCCAGGCTTCCCTCCTCATCTTGGTGTCCACAAGCATGCGGTTGGCCGAACGAACAGAAAAGGTCCCGTTCTTCTCGTCCACCCATGACCAGAAATGGTCGACATGCCTTGTACAAAGTGGAATGGATAGGATGGCTTCAACATCTGTTGGTAAAAAGATCTCCGCAATAGCGTTGTGATCCCATTCCGCGCCCGGTAGGATCAGAACACCCACATATTTAGGTGGGTTTGGAACCCTGCTAACGATAGGTCTCATATTAGATGCTCCAGCAAAATACTATAGTTATGGTGATTTTCTGAATGCAGATTTGGGGGCCGCTCCGTCTCAGATTTGAAGAGCTCTCCTAGAGGGTTGTGATGTACTCATATAGGGGCTGATTCGATGCATCGTCAATGGCCAAACAACAACTATAGGGCTGTGATGTATTTTCTCTTGCGGGAGCCTACATCATCAATACGGCGGACCTACAGGCAAACTTTTAAAGTACATCACATAATTAGCATGGTTTAGTGATCACAAACAAGTTCAAGAAATACTTATTTTTGGAATACTCCCTTGTCTGAAGTCAAACTTTGTAAACTTGATCAACTTTATAAAAAAACAACATCTAATACCAAATCATTATCATTAAATTTACTATGGAATTTATTTTCATATCATATATACTTGGTATTGTAGAAATTCATATATAATTTTCTGTAAAGTTAGACAAACTCCACAAAGTTTAACATTGGCAAATTTAATATGCAAATACATAAATTAGCATGAGTGTTTGACGGGTTTCCCTAATTGACGCATTCTTTGTCAAAATGCCGGGGTGCCGCACACACGGTCAAAGCGATCAACCAAGATAGGCCGGTCAGTTTAGAAGCGAGGCGTTCGTTCCACTGATCCTGGTTTTGGGAACCTTCTGAAAGGTTCCAGCCGGTTTTGAGAACCTTCTAGAAGGTTTCTGAACATGTTTTTTTTGGTTTCTTTTTCGTTTTCCTTGTTCATTTTTTCTTCTCTCCATTTTCTTTTTTGATTTTCATTCTCCTTTTCTTTTTCTTTTTTCCTTTTCCTTTTTCTTTTCTTTTATATTTTCTTTTTCAAGTTTATTTTCATTTTTCAATAAATTTTCAAAAATTTCAAAAATGTTCGCTTCATAAATTCTGACACATTTGCCAATTTCAAAAAATATTACCATTTTCAAAATTTGTTCACAATTTTTTTAAACATTCATGTTTTAAAAATTTGCTTGCAAATTTAAAAATTGTCTGGGAACTTAAAAAATGTTCTAAATTTCTAATTTTGTTCACGAATTTGAAAATTCTTCATGTTTTCAATTTTTTCCTAAAATTTTAAAACCATCCATGTTATCAATTTTTTTTAAAATTAAAAAATGTTTACGGAATTTCAAATAATGTTCGAGTTCTGAAATAATCGTTCGTAATTTTAAGAAATGTTCTCGTTATCAATTTTTGTTCCTTTTTTCAAAAAATGTATGCATATTTAGAAAATTGTTTGTAATTTTGAAAAATGTTCTTGTTTGCAATTTATTTCCTTTTTGAGAGAAATGTTTCATAATCCCAAATAATGTTCGCGTTTTCATGGAATTTTCGGTGTTTTAAAATTTTGTTCACAATTTTGAAAATGTTTTCGCTTCACAAAAAAAAATACTTTTTTCAAAAAGAAATCATGTTCGTAATTTAGAAAAATGCTTAAATCGGTTGCAGCTTATAGTTAATAT